TTTACACCTTACAAGATCTTGTTTGGACAGGAGATTGTTCTTCCTCTGGACGTGATGCTAAATGTAGGCCATGATGAGAAGTTTGTGTCCGCCAGTGAGTATGTGACTGGGTTGGCAGACACATTATCCACAGTGGTAGAGGTCGTAAAAAGACATCAGGCAAAAGCTTCTGGGCAGCAGAAGGAGTCATTTGATCTTCGGGCTAATTTGCAGTTCTATTCTATGGGGGAACTGGTGTGGGTACGGAATAAGGCAAAGAAAAAAGGCGTTTGCCCAAAACTACAAAGACGATACCGGGGCCCTTATAAAGTTGTGGAACGCATCTCTGATGTATTGTATCGCGTGGTGTTAGGAGAGGGGGGGCCGGAGATAGTGGTGCATTTTAACAGACTTAAACCATATGTTCTTTCTTCTCTCTCAGAAACTGAGTCCCAGTGCCCAAGTCGGAGGGTGGCCGGCCAGTTGGATGTTCCTTTGGGCGCCAGTTGGGTTCATCAAAGGGCACCTGTGCTCCCACGTAACTCGGAAGGGTCAGAATCACTGGTTGCTGGTCCAGTACAACAGCCTGTTAAGGAGCCGGATATACAACAAAGGGACCCGGACGGACGGCAGGATGGCTCTACAGTGGTGATACATCAGCCAAAGTTACAACGCCCAGTACGAGAGCGACGTCAACCTGGGTGGACGCGGGACTATGAGATGGATTCTGTATGACTCTGGGACGAGTCTGTTCCATTGGGGAGGGGATAGTGTAATGTGGGTGGCGTTTTGGGATATTGTCTTGGCAACTAATTATTGAGACTGATTGAGAAATGAGAAACACCGGGGCGGGAGTTGTGTATTGAGAGGCTGGGTGTGGAAAAGGTTTAAATGGGGTGCAAAAGACGAGATAGGGGCTTGGTTCGGTTTGCATTGTGGATAACAGGACGGCGGTACTCACCTTTATTTTGGGAGGGGGGTGTCGTTCGCGGTTGGATAGGACCGCCGGCGATGAAGATAGATAGATAGCGGGTGCGGGGAGAGAGTATAGAGATGGGAAGTTAGGAGTGCCGCCGCGACTGTGCGGAATGCTGATGCTATCGCCCGGCTGGACTTTGCCCTTTTTGAAATGGACTTACGGTGGGATTTCCCCTTGTTTGACTGAGACTGCCTGATACCAATCATCGTGACGACATCGCTCACATTTCTCGTCACGGAACGGTGTGGGCTACGTGGAATCCCCCCCCCCCCCCTCTGTTTTAAACTAAACTAATGTATTAAATAAAGTTGTGCTTCATAATAATAGAGGGTGATAGTAAAGGTGGGTGGGACTGAAACTGGGAAGGTTTAGGGAACAGTCATGGGTACCATTTTACACCTGCATGAAGTTGAGGTTTTAAATGAGTTTGAAGTACCACTGTAATTGATTCTGGGGTTTGTCACTAATGAAGTGAGTGAATACACGTAGTGCTCTGTGTAATTCTACGGCTTTTCCAGGTTGTGTTTAGCCTGTCCTTGCAGTCCCCTCTATCAATAAAACTGTTTGATTGAAGTTGTGGTGGTGTGTTGTCTTCTGGTGCCAGACCATACTGGCTAAATTATTACATTATTATACCTTTTAGGCTACTTATACTGTTATAATGTCTCTTACTGATCAATAAAACTGAAATTTAACAAAAATATACAGGGTTGTGTCATTTTATTTTATATAGCCTATATTTTATATAGCCTTTTCATTACTATTTTATTTGCTGTATACTGTTTGTTTATTTTATTGACTAAACTATTTACTATTACTCACTGTATTATATTTACTATTTGCACTGCATTGTAGTTGTACCATATCGTATTACCATAGATAAAGGATCCATCAGTTATCTTTGTTATTGCTAAAATCGGGTCAATCACAGAAAATGCTTTTTCCACAAAGCGGCCAATAGGGCGTCTGTGTATTTATTATGTTTATGCTTTTGCACTTTCTTTTCTCTCGAGGCATCAACTACACATCTGACACGGGTAAATATCTTTTTTTACAGTCTATTGTATATAAAGAGTTCAGTCCGCCTATGGCCTTAACATTGGTCCCGCTTCGGATGCCACGATGCCATCAAGCGGTGTCTCTGGTCGTAATCAGTCCTTCACTGACCAATCAGCGTCCATTAGCAAAATGCTAGCGTGTTATGGGCAACAACAACTCAACCTGTAAGAAATCGAAAGGACATAAGCACTCGTTCATTCAACTTTCGACCTATAACCCATGTTGAACTTGCAGAACGTACATTCAAATCTGAGATTTCTCAATGACAATCGGGTAAAAGAGACAAATTTAGCCGTCTAGCCCCATTGACTCCCATTCATTTTGCACTCGGACGATCGCCCCCAGTGGAATTCTGGTGGAACTACAACCAAAATTCGGTACAATAGGACTTAATAGGGAGTGGCCAGGCTTTCCGTAGACGGGCTTTGGTTTAATGTTAAGGCCAATTTATACTTCTGCGTCGAGTGTACGCCGTACTGTACGGCGTAGGCTACGCACGTAGGCAACGCCGTCATGAGCATTTATACTTCTGCGTTTAGGTCTGCGTTGCTCTGCAGTACAGCGCCGAAACGCTAGTTGGCGGCGGAGGGTTTTAATGTTCCACTGTGTTTAGATTCCTCGCGGCAAGAAGAAGAAGATTCCTCGCGGCTGTTTTGAGTTTAGGTTACTACAAGCAATGGCGACTGAAAGAGAGCAGATCATCTTGGAGTTGGAGCTTATCGAGGTGGAAAAGGTAAATTTTTAGTTTTTTTAACAGTTTCGCTGTACTTAGAATTTAAAAATGGCGGGCGGTGCAGAAGAACACGCCGGAAATGCATAGGAGGAAACGCGATGCTACCAAGCCGACCAATCACAGATCTTGCGGTCCGCGTCGTACATTTTTGTACATTTTTGAGGAGGTGCGCGTCAGGTTACGGCGAAGGGTACGGCGTATGGTACGCGTCTGTGCGTATGCTACGCCGTAACTACTGCGCGCACCCGACGCAGAAGTATAAATTGGCCTTAAGTGCGGCCCGTTGTTGCGTGTGCCGCGTTTTTATTTTTTTATCCCTTATGGGTTACCATAGATAGTCTCGTGACAGCTTACGGTGGGTTTGTTGTCAATAGTTGTCATAGACAACCGCGAAGTACAAACATACTGCGCCTGGAAAAAATGAGCGCGTCGCTTCAATTATGAGCGGGCTTGCCGCGTGCCTACATTTGAAATAACGAACTTGAGCGCACAAAATATGTGAGCGCGATATGTGAACGGCCCCTTGGCGAGCTACCACCAATCAGGCCTCGAGCTACTGTTAGCTCACGAGCGACGTGTTGGAGACCCCTGCTCTAAAACAATGTGAGAATAGTCATTTTGAGCTTGTAATATGTGTCCAACAGGTTGATAAGAAGGTTTGCTTTGATTTGTGCAAAGTCAGTAATTTGCCTGAGACACTATACATGTGTAGAAAGAATTCAATAAGACGGGCAGACATGACTGCAAATATTTGTATTTCAAAAGCAATAATTGTTTTTCTATAACAATTTCTATAACAAAGTATAATAAAAGGAAATGTGCCTTCCAAAAAAACATTCAATATCATATTGAAAATAAAAAGGACATGAGGAAATATAAGTACCACAAATATGTGTTATAAGGAAAAGATAAAGAAAGTTTGTAAAATGAACTTCAACTGTCAGAAGGAAAGCTAATGAAGAACCAATCATGTACAGAAAGGAATGCTCAAATTCAGAGGAACAGATCAGAAGAAACGTTAATAATAAAGATTGAGAAGATTGGATCAGTTGTGCTCCTTTTTTTGGAATACTTGAATACTATTTTTTTGTGGAATACTTGATGCGGCCCAGCCTGACCCCGACTCTACCTCCAGCGGCCCCCAGTTAAGTTGAGTTTGAGACCCCTGCCATAGACTGTAAAAAAAAGATGGACGACGTGTCTTCACTTCCTTCCACTATAGAAAAATGAAGCCAAAAAATCCCAGAAATAACTGATGACATCTTGCGCCAATTACAGTTGTAATCAAAATGATTCAAATCCCATTGAAAATCAGGTTTATTGACCAAATTGAGAGACTTTCGGCTGTTTGCAATGAACAAATCAAACAAAAGTAATTGAAATAGCTCAACAAGGGGTTTCCCCAAATTCAACTGAAAATGCAACTTTTAATGACTTCTGCAGTCTCAAAATGATTCACCCCTTTATTGGTAAGCATCTTTAATACTTAGTAGAACACCCTTATGCTATGCATTCTTTTGACTTAGCCATATTTCTAACATGTAGTCAAACGTGACACTCAACAAACCTAGCCAGTTCAGATGTTTCATGTGTTCTAGCTCTAGCACACCTGGTGCTACTAATGAAGCCCTTGATTAGCTCCATCAGGTGTGCTTGAGACAACACCTGTTTTGCAGATGTGTGCTGTTTTGAGGGATTCTATTCAGGGGGTGGAATAATTTTGAGACTGTGGAAGTTTATGACCTATTCTAGGCCTGTTGCATGAAGCTAGTTGAACAAAGTCTGAGTTTCAGATGAGGTTTAGATCAGGTTCGGCGGGCTCACAAAGCTCGGTATTTAAATGTTCTCTGTCAACTCAGGGTTTGATCCAGAGTTTGTGATTAACTCTGAAGCACGTGCACCTGAAAGTGTGTCGTGTGCAGCGAACAGCCTTTCCATCACACGGGACATGGAGAGCATTGATTCACTTCTCGCGAGAAAGTAGCACAATTAACTTTTCTGTTGAAGATTAAGGCCCTGTCCCAAATGGCACCCTAAACACTCAAGGTCTTCCTAAGAGTCCGCACTTTTGTGATGTAATGCCGCTTTGGCTGTCGGGAAAAAGTCTGCTGCGGCACTCACAGGCTCTGCAAAAGTGTGCATGGAGGGCGCATATCGACCTCAAAGGGGGGCGCTCGCGAAGACCCTTCTGAAACCTAAAATGACAAATGGGAATGACATCCTAATGACATCCTAAAATCTATACTTCACCTCTCCCTCTTCTATCTGTGTGGCTGCATCGCGTCCGGTTTTGGCTGGGACGAAGAGGGGAGTGGCTGGTTTGTCCAGGAACATGTCTGTTTGGCATTCCACGCTGACGTCCTCTACACGATCGCTCAGCTCTTCCAGATACATCTCTAAAAAAACACATCAGTGAGAGATTTCATCATCATTTCTGGGCTTACATGTATGTGAAGATGCATTTCCATTCTGAGATTTACACTTGTAACACAATGAAAGTAAGCATATGTTATTTTAGGGTAGCTTTTTGTCAGATTGTATTAATAGACAAAGTAGTAGGGGAAAAAAGATGGGAACATGGGCTGGGACAGACTCCAACACTGGTTTCTCATGAGCACCAGAGCTCAACATTGGGCTCCGACATTAAGCACCTGATAGTTTATTGTGCAAAATCATTCACTACCTGTCTGCAAATCTATGTTCTTTCTGCCCTCTAGTGGTTCTGGTGTTTTGGGGCCAAACTGCTCCTTCATCCGTTTTCTGGACATCGCTCTTCTTCTGACCTCCTGCTGTCTCAGGAACTCCACTGGATCGGGCTGAGATGTCTGATAAACACATCTATATTCTTTTATATTCTATTCAATTTCATTCATCAATTGTGCTCTTATCACAGTAGCATACAAAACACATGGTTCTATGGTTCATAAAACTAATGAGCTTTTTGGGCTGTTTTGTACTCTGGTATTTTCACATTATGCTGTCAGACTACACAAATACAAATAAACTGTATCTGCTTCTTATAAGAAAGATTTCTAACCTCTGTGCATTAATACTCACAATGGGTAGGATATGTTGAGCATATGTATTTCCTCTGACAACACGTCGGTCATACATGATGTTTCCATAACTGCTCTCTTCTTCATTTCTGCATTATACAGTAAAGAAAAAATATATATGTTCGAATTTTGCATGTTTTTATCCATTTGAGAAATAATTTTCTTTTTTATTTATTTCTTTGCAAAAATGTGCAAACCATCATATGTGAATTAACAATATTAATATGAATATTTTAGCCAGGTCCCCAAACCTTTGATATTTGGTAATGTAACTTTCGCCAATAACAAAAAGCTTAACGTTACCCTGGTAGCAGCTAACGTTAATCATAGTTTTCTAGTATTATAAATATTAGTACAGTTAGTATTACAGTTGGTATTATTATTAGTACAGTTTTTGTTACTTAAAACTGGTTTCAGATAATACATTCTTTAAGAGAGAGAGAGAGAGAGAGAGAGAGAGAGAGAGAGAGAGAGAGAGAGAGAGAGAGAGAGAGAGAGAGAGAGAGAGAGAGAGAGAGATCACATAAAACAAAATGACAGGAAAAAAGCTTTGCTTAGGCTAAACCTGATGTTCACAGGAGGACCCACATTTGGGGGAAAAAAGATAATTCCTCAGATATAGCGTCAAAACATCTAGGAACATCTTAAATATATCAGTCTATCAATGACATTTAGACTGTTAAATGGTCAGAATATGTGAAGTGAGATTTCTCTGTGTGTGTGTGTGTGTGGGTGTGTGTGTGTGTGTGTGACTCACAGCAGCGGATCGGCTCTGTATTTGGGGCGGTTGGGAACCGCACGCGGACGGCTGGAAAACGTGTAAACTCCGCTCTGCGTCTCGTGTTGTGCCTGTAAATTAGCTGCCATTTTTCCTTTTAATTGTGATATCAAAAGTGTGTCTGGAAGCTGAAATCATTAACTTTTAGTTGTGGAGAGGTGGACTAGCATCTGTTGCTGCCACAGTTGTTGTAACGGTTACCATGGCAACTGAATCCAACAACAGCGGTGCGCTTTGTTTACTTCCGGCTCGGTTAATTTTTTTTATTATTATTTTTATTCCGTACGAAATAATATTATTGCAATATCAATGACAGTATCATACATGTTTAAGCAAATTGCAAGTAACAGGACACATCAAGTCAAGTCACATTTATTTAGGCCTATAGCGCACTGGACTCTTCTTTATTGACATAAATAGCCTAACTGAAACTGTATCCTTGTGTTGTTGTCTTTATATCACTTCAGTATAATGAAATAAGCACATCAATTTTTTTTTTTTTTTTACTGATCACTAAAGAATTACAAAGAAGTTGTGTGCGAGTTTGGTAGGCCTACCATTATTTCCATTAAAGGTGTGTGTGTGTGTGTGTGTGTGTGTGTGTTTCTAATGTTTCCTGCCATATGTGTATAAATAAAATAAATACATAAAAAACAATAAATGCTTATCAAACTACAAGTGTAATAATTTATAATCTTTGCGGCTTTGCCAGAGGGGGAACAAAAATCAAAATAACCGTTTCAGATCTATAATAATTATTCAGATCTATGTGTACAACGTGATAATAACCAGTAGGGGGAGACTGCATGATTTTGCTGCTGAGAACAAAACTGAACAGATGAAGCAGCAGCACTCAAGCTGACCTGGGGCCGTATGTATAAAGCCACTCAGAGTAAAAATGTTAGTCAGTTATTAATATTTCATTGGTCCTCTCTTGTTTTTCCATGTGTTCATAATTTCTTTGCATGACAGCCTGGCCAAAAATTATGTCTGTACAATTTGGCATGTTTCCTTGAGTTATCACAAATAAAACAATTGACTCCAAGCACAACTACACATATGCTTACAAAATCGTTAACACATTTTGAATAGGCTATGTGAATAAAGGGTGAAGATGTCGATTTTCCAATTCCGGACATCACTTTTGGCCACTATATGGCAGTTCTACCAGAAAGACTCAAGAGGCAAAATGATGTAACAAAGCATTAATGTATTAACAGCCCAGCAAGCAATTGTGTTATAAAGTTCTTTGGGATAGCCAAACCCCGTCTGTAGTTCGCAATCCGAGGGTAACGGAATCTGCATTTCCTGCCTGAAGACGAAGGCAGGGGCGCAGCCGAACCCCCGGGAGGTATGGGAAGGGGCCATGGTGGCGGCGGGGAGGATGGAGGGGAATGTTGGCGTCAGCATCTGCGAACTCAGACATGTGTAAGTACCGATCTTTTATACTACGAGTATTAGAACACGATTGGTTAGATAAGAAGGCAATAAGTGACGTAACAATTGAGTCTTCCTGGCAGAAATTACGCTAAAGCTTTCATTTCATTGACTTTCCAACTAATCTTCAAACCATGCAGCAAAATCAAGCCTCTTTTATGAGAATTCCGGCTTCCCTGTCTCATGGAACTCATGTTTGCATCATTGCTCTTACTATAAATGAGGAGACATATATCAATAGAAAATGATTCAACAGCATATAATTTGTAGTAATTTTGCACAAAGCAAAGCAAATTTTTTAAAAACATTTAAGTATTAAAGTTTCAGTGTCTTAAATTAAATTATTTTATTATAATTACATACTGCACTCATTATTATGCAATCATGGAAAAAAATTTTACAGTGTTTTTTTATAGATAAAATAGACTCAAATTAACATTTTTTTTTTTTTTGGGAGGGGTACTTTTGGGTACGTTGCCATATGGCAACATTGTGCGACAATGAAACAGCCTGATGCGTTTTCTCCCAAAATGACATGAAATTCATAGATGATTACAGACCTGTCTTTTAGAAATGAAATTGTTTTTATTATTTAAAATGTTTTCAAGAGCTTTGTGTACAAAATATGAAACTAATTTTCAAAGTATTATTTCAACAACATTTACAAAACATCTGACGGAAACTCATAAGAACTGTTCAAGTGAAACTACTCAATGTGAAACGATTATTTCAACAACATTTACAAAACATCTGACACAAACTCATAAGAACTGTTCAAGTGAAACTACTCGATGTGAAACGCCTTAAAGCAGTTGTTCTCTCCGTTAAAGGTGGGGTATGTGATTTTTTTTTTTGACCATTTTTTCAAAATCACTTGAAATCCTATTCCTAACCCACTTACAGCCACTGAGTTAGAAACACTGACATGAAAATTAAAAAATTTAATCATCTGTGGAACGGGCAGGACTCGAAAAACTCCAGCCAATCATTTCCAAGACCACCTAGAATCATTGGACAGTAAGTGCGTCAATCAAACGGTCGTACCATACCCCCCTCCCCCCATGCCCCTCTTCGAATGGGTGGAGTGGGTGGAGTCAGGGCCAGCGTTGGAGGAAAGAAGGTAGGACCTTTTGAGTTGTGTATTTTCAAAATCTGCCGGCCGTTTTGCAAATCACATACCCCACCTTTAAGGCAGAGGTGCACCTTGCACTTAGAGCAAACAACTCTGACGATGCCCTTGCAGCCAGGATTCTTGCACCTTCCTTTTGGTGCACCCATCTCTGGCCAGTGATCAAAGCGGTCAAGACGGATATACCATCCAACTATATCAGTGCATCCATACATTGTCATTCATACAAAGCTACTCTGCATTAGCATGGGCAAAATATTGTTCCATTACCGCACAATGTTGCCATATGGCAACATACCTATTTTATTAAATAAAAAGGTAATATAAGTATCAAAACAATGTGACAATGATTGAAAAAAGATTAGAACTTATCCCAGATGCTTGATGTATTTTCTTATTCCGAAGAAATATGAAAAAAATGAGGAAAATCTTCACATATACACAAGCACTTTTTCAGCAGCTGGAGTCATCAAAAGTGTGTGAAAAGAATGACGTTGCAAGGGTGTGTGTAGTGTCGTGATGTCATCAAAGCATATCATTGGTTACCACCAGGTTCTGTTATGAATTTAAGATCAATCAGAGCTCATGTTTATTTTCAAATTTCAAGAAATGTTCAAAGAAAGGGTATGTTGCCATATGGCAACACTGTGCAGTAGAGGGTTAAATGATAGGTGTCATGCCTGCTGTGACCTCGTCCTTGCAGGCTCACTATTGGCTGATTTAGTGGTTGAGGGCGGCCATTTTGCCAATTCAGTCAGCACTTAAGAATAAGCCTTGGACTTTGCTGAAAGTTGCTTTTAGCTTCTTTTTTAAAGTCTTCTACTCTTAGAAAAGTCCTACTTTTTACTAAGAATTGTTTTACACTTAAAGGCTGGAATAGACTACACGACGTTTAAAATCAGAGCAGATTTTTGAACTGCAGGCTTCATACACAAGTGGTTAGAGAGAAAAGCTGGGCATCATACACTACAGGACTGAGGATAATACACTACAATACACTGAACAGAAACACGTGACACATTCACAAAACAAAACAAGGCTAAAAGTAGCTCCTAACTTTCCAATTTAGGTGTCAGTCCTAATTTTAGGACTCCTAATTTTCTTGCTCCATAGTATTTCACAAAGCATTTTATTGCTAAAACTATAAATCTGTGAAACGTTAGTAGTCAAGAGGATATAATATATACCCCAAAATGGCTGTATAAAAAAAAAAAAAATCCCTTGGGTGCTGAGCCTTTATTTCTTCAGAAATTCAATAAATACTTTGATTTATAGATTTTAATTTGCAATGACATAACATAAAGGTTATTTATGTATTGAATGATGGAGAATAAAACATTGCAGTCAAGTTGAAAATAATGTCCCATCATCTGGGCTGATATAGCCTCGTGTGCAGCTCGGGTGAGTTACAGCTCCTGGACCTTTCCCGATCCCACTTCACTTCCTGTCTACTCGCTGTTCTATCATAATAAAAAGAAGAAAAGAAACCGGCAAAAATAAATCTTAAATAAATAGGCCTACATAAATAAGAAAATAATGTCTGATTACCTGTGGCAGTTGTTTCATGAATTCACACGTACAAATGATCGGATAGGGTAAAAGGGTAAAATAAGCCTATTTGCAGTGCTGGGATTGAGTACTTCCCCATAGAGGACTGAGGAGTCGGGCTGGCGGAGGGATGGGATGCTGAAAACTGTCGAGGTACTGTGAGTCGGCTGTGTGTATATATGCCTCCTCTCGAGCTGATTGGATTGATAATTCGCCTTTGGCTAAGCCACACCCTAGAATGTAGATTGACCAATCACAGCGCAGCCAAGAACGAGCTCCCACAGAGGTCCGACACTTTTTCACAGCGCTCCATTGACTTTAACACAGCCGTCTCATATTTTTGGTCTCGGCAGGCTATTACCGTCGTAGTTTTATCAAAAATATGGTTAAACGTTGTGCCTGGGGCATTTGTAACACAGATACGCGTTTCCCAGAGAGGTTGGAGGGGGGTGTGCGTTTTTTTCCCTTCCCAAAACCGAAGTCAAATCCTGACAACTAAAAGTGTCGTCTAGCACACGCTGCTAATAAATACAACGTTATACTCGCGTAGTCCGTTTGCTTTGTAATAACGATTATAGAAGTGAATAGAGACCTACCCAGCTTTGCATGAACAGTGTTGCTCCTTGATATTGTTAGTCCCAGCCTCCGTCTCGATTAGTACGATATGCGGTGGTTCATTTTTTGACTGTGACCGGTATGCATTGCCTCTATTTTGGATGCCTTGTTGTTCCTTGCGTTTCACCTGTATGTCATGAACGTATGCCTTCAAACGTATATCGCAGCCCCTTTTGACTACTTCTATCGGACACTTTATTTGCTGCTTTATAAAAGTTTGATAAAATTTCAGCAGGAAGAGCTGTCACAGCATAAGCCATGTTGATACCAGAGCCCAGATGAAGTTTGTTTGTCGGACGTAGCAACAGTAACTAAGGGGGGCGGGGCCTAGCCAAAGGCGAATTTGAACATACTCCTGCACCTTGTTTATAAGACACATTTTGTCGCTTGAATTCTGCAATCTCTCGAGATGCAGACATGTAAGAGAATGACAATTAGCTGAACATATACTTGTTTAATTAGTGACACTTAGCCTACCCA